TGCTGGCGCGCCCCTGCCGGCCCCTGCTGACGCGCCCCTGCCGGCCCCTGCTGGCGCGCCCCGGCCCGGCCCCTGCTGACGCGCCCCTGCTGACGTGCCCCTGCCGGCCCTTGCTGGCGCGGCCTCTTCTGGCGCGGCCCCTGCTGTCACGGCCCGCCCCTGCACCCGTCTCTGGTAAGCCTAGCCGCGCCGCCCAGCTGAGCCGCGCTGCCCAGCCGAGCCGCGCCGCCCAGCCGAGCCGCGCCGCCCAGCCGAGCCGCGCTGCCCACTGAGCCGCGCCGCTCTACCAAGCCGCACTGCCCTCCCGAGCCGTACTGCCCTGCACTGCCCTCCTGCCTCTGCTGCTATTGCTGCTACTGCTGCTATGGCTAGTCCTACTGTTCTCACCTTTGATGCTGAGGGACGTGCAGTTGACTTTGACGTGTGGGTTGACGACCTACAGCTCTTTCTTCAGTGTGATTCTAGGGATGGGGTATCCCTTTTCGATCACACGTCCGGTGTTTCTACTGCTCCTGCTGCCACTGCTGACAGTACGGTTCGCTCGCAGTGGACCACTCGTGACGCTGTTGCTCGTCTTGCTGTTCGTAGTCACCTGCCGCCTGCTGAGCGTGCGCATTTTGGCCAATACAAGACTGCTCAGTCTTTGTACGACGCTGTAGTTGCACGCTACTCCTCCCCTGCCACTGCTGCCCTCAGCCGCCTCATGCTGCCGTACCTTTTCCCTGACCTTGCCGCCTTTGCCGCAGTCGCTGACCTAGTTGCTCACCTTCGCACTAGTGACGCCCGCTACCGCGCTGCCCTTCCCATTGAGTTCTGTGCCAAGAACCCCCCCCCCCATGTACATCACCCTTTACTACCTAGTCACCCGCCTCCCTGACTCCTTTTCTTCAGTCAGGGACCACTTTCTCTCCCTTTGCCCCACCGAGCTGACTGTCGACTTGCTAGAGGAGCGCCTTACTGCAGCTGAGAAGAGTATCTTAGCTGTAGGTGCTTCTCGCGGCGACCGTCGCACCCCTTTCTTTGAGGGGTGTTCCCCTGTTCCCCTTCTCCCCTCTGTTGCTTCTTCTGCTGCTGTTGACCTCGTTGGCACTGAGGAGGTCGGAGCTGCGTCTGCCCCTAGTGGGAGACGCCGCAACAGCAAGGGCAAGGGGAGCAAGGGTGGTGGAGGGGGCGGCGGGGGAGGTGGTGGAGGAGCTGGAGGAGGCGGAGGGGGTGGCGGTGGTGGTGGGGGTGGTACCGGGAGTGGGGGCTTCAGTGGCGGCGGTGGAGGTGGTGGAGGCAGCGGCGGAGGTGGTGGAGGCAGCGGCAGCGGTGGTGGAGGCGGCGGCAGCGGTGGTGCTGGTCGAGGTGCAGCCGCGCAGCGTGGAGGCTTTGGTGGTAGCCAGCGCCAGCAGCAGCCGCGCTCCCGTGAGACCCCGTCGGCCCCGCAGCTTCGTGAGTGGTACGCTGGGCGTGGGAGGTCTGGAGGTGCTGGTCCTTGCGCTTACGTTCTTCGCACCGGCAGTCGTCGTCGGGAGACGTGTGGGCTGCCACACACTACGCAGCGCTGCTTCGGTCGCTTGACTGACGCCTGGCGTGCCCAGTTTCCTGACTCTGTTGAGCTCCCTCGCTGGCATGATCTGCTTCTGCAGAATGTGCCTATCTTTGATCTTGATTTCGATGCTATCCTTGCTGCCATGTATGCTTTTGCTGATAGTGCTGAGGGTGACTGTTACCTGAGTGTCCCGCCCGACCCGGGCATTGTGGCTGCTGCTCTAGGTGCTAGTGCGTCTGCTGCTCCAGGTGCTGGTGCGTCTGCTCTCTCTCGTACTGCACCTACTGAGGCCTTGCACACTTTCACACTTGACTCTGGTGCTTCGCGCTCTTTCTTTAGAGACAGCACCACACTCACGCCGCTCAGTCGACCTGTCGCAGTCTCCCTTGCTGACCCCTCTGGGGGCCCAGTCCTTGCACACTCTTCCACGGTTCTACCGTGTCCTGCGGCCCCGTCGGGCTTGCTGTCGGGACTCCACCTCCCCTCGTTCTCTACGAACTTGGTGAGTGGAGCTGACCTCCAGGACGTGTGGGTTGACCAGTTCGCCCCTGGAGGTCAGCGTGTGACCCACTGCACTTGCTCTCGGACGGGCCGCCACCTGGCCACGTTCACCCGTCGGCCAGGGTCGAGTCTGTACACACAGACTACTGCGCCTCCTCCGGTCTCTGCGTCTGGTCAGGTAGCTGCGTCTAGTCAGGTGTTTGCTGCCGCGTCCAGGTCTAGTCCTGAGTCTGCCCCCTGCTCGTGTCGTCCTCTGTCACACGAGACTCTCCTTTGGCACCACCGCCTTGGTCACCCCTCCCTGCCTCGTCTTCGAGGTATGGCCTCCCGTGCCCTTGTCTCGGGTCTACCCCGGTCTCTGCCTCCCCTTCCTCCGGGGCCTTCAACCATAAACGAATCACAATTGTGGGAACGCGTGGGACTCGTGGAGCTCACGACGATTGTGCGTCAGTGTGATGAGGCTAGATTTGCCGAGTTATTGGATTGGTTACGTGAAGGTAAACAAACTCGCATGGACCTTCAACTGTTATACAAGCGCTAGATGGATACTCACCCACCAAGGATAGAGCTCCAACATCTGTGTTGTACGAATAAAGCCATTGATCTATTTAATCACGAAGTGTACTCCTCTTCAGAAGAAAAACATGCAATTCCAGCATTGGATTGTGCATTGTTTGGAAAGGATCAATCTAGGAAAAACATACCTATCACACGGCATGGTTTTGAAATGACGTCATCACATGGATTGTTATCTCTTCTGGAGTTTATTACTAGTTCGCAGGTCCATATGTCCTGTAATGTAGATACATCCGATGGTCTTGCTAACGGCACTCCTGGCATAGTTGTTTATTTTACTCAAAATGACCAACGTGTGGTGGAAATCACATGGTTCAATTTGATGACGATCAAGTCGGGCGTAACATTCGTCAAAGATCCGAATCATTGGTCTCCAAAGTTATTGGAGTCAAACAAACTTGGACACCTATACAACGTATTGAGAAATCATTTTCGGTCATCTCTCGATACGATATGATATCTCGAATGCAGTTTCCGTTACGACCAAGTAATGCGATTAGCTTCCATCGAAGTCAAGGCGCAACTTTTGATGGTGGAGTTGTCCACTCTGAGAAAAAAATGTTTCCACAAGGCGCCTACGTTGCTCTAAGTCGTTTTTGCAGCCCCAATCGGTTGTTTCTAACGATTTTTCTGAAGCCTGCATAAAAACCGAGTCTCGCGTTGTAGCGGAAATGTGTCGCTTACGTGAACGACATCTTGTTTTGGATCCAACGACCGCTTAAGTGATTTCAAAACAATCTTCATGTGTGAAATTCGTCTTTCAAAATGTAAGTAGTTACCGGGGACATTACAAGGACGTGGATATTAACAGTCTGCATGATTTCGGTTTTGTTGTTCTTTTTTAGACCCATTTGAGTTCAAACAATATACTACCGAGCGAAACAAAACAGGTTTTTTGAGGTTTTTCGTGCGGATTGCAAATCTTGCGGAATCGTACTGTATCATCGAATTCCAATCAGATTGATACAACATCAAGAAAAGTCTAAAGTTGAACTTTTGACTTTATGTATCGATATCAGAGACAAAATTCTGATTATTATTGTTAGAATGTGAGCGAATGAATGACTGAACTAGAAGGCAGGTGGGTACAAGTAGGAAACCTAAAAGTGTTGTACCCTATAAGAACTACCCCACTACAGCCTAAACAGACTATAGCATATAAGTTTGACACACCCCCATAGGCAAAGTGGGGGAGAACAAGAGGTCACAAGACCAGTCAAGAAAGGCAAAGCAAGCTCAGGGTGGATCACAAAGTCACCACGCAGTCTGAGCACAAGCAAATGGCCACAAGGCCAGTTCACATGCAGAGTTATATAAAGGAGAACAAACAATACAGTGAACACAACCTAGCAAGTGTAAGCATGCAGGTATATGTATAACGAGTACAGTACAAGCAGAGTCAAGAAGAAAGCAAGTGAGGCACAGTAGGTACAAGGCCTAACACAGTACAGAAACGCTGATGATCACAAGGCTGAAGTGCCTTGGTGAAAACATCAGCAGTGTTGGCCTGAGAGGCCACGTAAGCAAGACGAAGCTGGCCACGCTGCTGCAACTCTCGAGCAAGGAAGTAGCGCAGAGCAATGTGCTTCGTTCTGTGCTCCAGTCTGTGCTCCTGACACAAGGCCAGCATGGCCTTGTTGTCGACGTACAGAACTGGAGGAGAACGAGGCGCCTCTCCCAAGTCGGTCAGCAGGTAGGTGAGCCAGCGTAGCTCCTGTGCAGCCATGGCCCCAGCGTAGATCTCAGCCTCACAACTGGAGCTAAGAACAGAAGAAGAGCGGGTAGACCGCCAAGAGACAGAACCGGAGCCAAGACTGAAGGTGTAACCCTGTGACGACCGCTGCGTAGCCAAGTCGTCAACCCAGGAGGCGTCAGCGTGACCAGTGAGGACAACTCGAGCCCGTCCTCCAAGCACGAGCCCCATGCCCGATGTACTGCACAAGTAGCGCAACACCCTCTTCGCAGCATCCCAGTGCACCTTTCGGTGCCTGCCGGGAGCCACGTAGCGAGCCAGAAGGCTGAGAGGGTATGCGAGGTCAGGTCGTGTGCAAGTCATCAGGTACATGAGGCAGCCCACAAGCTCTGGATACGGGCCACTTGGCTCTACGGACTCGTCCGAAGGTGGAGCTGAGAGCGAGTGACCGGTAGGCAGAGGAGTGGACTGTGGCGAGGAGTACGTGAAGCCGAAGCGCTGAAGGACCTGCTGCACCATGTGTGACTGAGTCAAGGTAATGGTGCGCTGTGCTCTGTCCCGGGTGATCCGCAAGCCAAGATAGCTTGTCAGCTCACCCAGGTCTGTGCACGTGTGTCTGTCACTTCTCCCTCTAAAGTCGCTGCTGTCTCAAACGCCACTGATGTTCCCAATGCTGGTGCTCTCCCCAGCAACGCTATGGTGGCCAACACAGCAGCATACCCCAGTTTAGCTGCGCTCAACCTGCCAATGAAGAGAGCACGTGAGGAGTTGAGTGCTCTTACGACCGACCCGCCCCTCCTGGTGAATGCATCTCGGGATGAGCTCGGGCTGCCTCGTCGTGTGGCGCAGCGCCCTCAGTCCTTGAGGGAGCTTCTTCAGCTGCGTGGCGAGAGGGGGGCAGCAGCAAGCCCTGTGGCCTGGTGTGGGGTCGGAGAGAGCCGGGTTTGGCCATCTGCTGCTGGAGGAACGCCGCCAGCAGCAAGGGGAGAGGAGTGCAGCGCAGCGGGTGTTGTGGCCACGCATTGGGTCCGAGAGTGCCCTTCCAGACGCACGTGCTGCTGGGATTCAGCAGCGACGAACCTGCCTTCATCCAGCGCTCTGCTCTTTCGGCTCCTCCGCCCACCCAGCCATGTGCAGTGCTGCCATCGCCAATCCCACCCCAGCTCGCTGCTTTGCCTGCCTCCGCTCCCTGCATTGGGGATTTCGACCCCTGCTGTGGGGAGTTGGCTTCATGCTTTGGAGACGCGCCTTCTGCTGGCGCCCGTGCTGCTGCGCAGCATCTGGCCCAGTCCGTTGACTCGTGCAACGGCCACAGTGACTTGCACGACAACAAGCCCGACATGCCAGTGCACGACACCAGTAACCACGACATCCCAGTGAACGACAACAGCAATGTGCCCTACGGCAGGAGCGAAAGCCTCTTTCTCGACGCACCCATCTCCCACCTGTGCCTCGCTGAGCCCACCACCACCGGGCCAAGGGCAGGTGAGAGCCTGGCAGGTCAGAGCCACCCCACACAAGGTCACCAGCAGCAGCATGTGAGCGGTCACCAGCATTGCGTACAGCTTACATGTGTTCCCTCGCTGTCAGCACACCAGCCTCTGCCACCGCCGTTGTCACAGCCGCTGGCACAGCCACTGATGCGGCCATTGTCCCAAGTGCCCCTTCTGTCAGTCTTTGGCAATGGCAGCCCTCAGCATTCACATGACACACTCTCACACCAGAAGGCCCCACACATGCCAGCTCCCGTGCCTCCTCCTGCTCTGCCGCACACGCAGCCTCATGTGATTGTTTCGCCACCGCCAACCCCCATGAAGCCTGCGGTTGCTCCCTGTTTCAATGTGGGTGATGCCCTGGGAGGTGATTTTGCTTCCTGGGAGAGCTCGTTCCCTCCCGGGCTCAACTCAAATGTGCCTTCTGCGAGTAGTCTGCTTGGGTTCGGAGAAACAGCTGATTTAAAGGTGGAGGAGGGCTGGAAAATGGACATGCCTGGTGGCCGCTCTACGCATGATGAAACCTACAGCTCTCCGGATATGGCCATGCTTTCTCGTGGGTTATATCCAGCACAATTTATACTCCCCCAGGTGCTGTCGTCCCCACATACACTGCCCCAGGTTCACCGGGGCCATTCTGGCCAAGCTTCTGAGGTTGCACTGGAGTTTGCCAATGCTACGCTGCCCAGCTTTCATCCCAAATATGTAGATAAAGAATGAGGCTTACTTGTAATGTGTATTGTGGTTTGATATGTGATTTGTGATATTACGTGTTGATATTTAATTTGTGAAATTTTGTGCTATGTGTATAAATATGCCTTAACGATTTTAGGACGAACTCAACAACCCGAGTAAATCAAGATACTGGTCTTCTAGAGGAATTGTATACGAGCCGCACTGACACCCACACCATCGAACCCCACCGTAACGATGGGTTTGGCGGGTTCTGGATTCATACTGCAAGGTTTGGCAGAATTCCCAGTACTACCGCTCATCGTGTCACCTCTGCATGACTCATCAATCACACAAAGAGAGGAGGTCACTGGTAGTTGTAACCCTAGGCGAGCACTTCAGTTGTTGCTCGGGTGCTTTTCTCCAACCGTCCGCCATCGCCTGCCCATCCAAACTCCTTTTTGTCGCAAGAGGAACCGATACCGCAATCGCATTGCCATGAGTTATTGACATTCCTGATCGATGGCGTCTCTGCTACGCATCGCCGTATTTCACGGCGTGGCATCTCACTCGCGCTGCGCTGTTAATGCAGTGGCGCTGTGTGAAGCCAAACTTGCCGATGCTAGGCGCGGCGTTTGTGGGCACCCCATTACTAGGAGAAATGGCGGTGGCGCCGACGGTGGTTTTTTTTCGAAACGCGGAAGACGCGGCGTAGCGACGCGCAACACGCTCGAGTCCGGTTCTGCCGACTCGAGTCCACCGGAGCTCGAGACGGCGAGAGATACCCCGCTGGTTCGCTCGGGTGGCGGCGGAACACGAGAGTTGCCGTCGCCGCCGCCGCCGCCACCGCTGCAGTCGGAATCGATTTTGTTCATCGGGAAGGTCTGGTGAGCGTGTCGTGGGTGTAGTGCTCCAAGATTTTAACGCTGATTACTTTCGAAAATGATTACGCTGAGATTCATGTTACCAGTCTCTCTCGCTCGTCTCCGCCAGCTTTGCTCCCGCCGTCCGCTCCCGCTCATGCTCTCCCCTCTCACCTCCTCACCGCCTCGCCCCTAATTTTCCCTGATTTCGCCACGCCGGTTTCATTGTCGTCCTTCCGTTCCTTTTGCCTCTCCCCTCCCCTTCCCGTCTCTCCTCCCGCTCCCTTCCCTTCTACCTCTCTCCCCGCCGATATGCCCGCAGGCCGGAGCACGGCAGCACGGCGGCGGGGGTGCGCACGGCGCAGCTGTTGCGCGTGCTGGGGAGTGAAACTGGCGGAGGTGGGGGCAGCGGAAGCGAGGGGCGCGCGAATCGACTGCATTCATGAGGTGACACAGGGGGAAAGGGTGGGGTGGGACGAGGCTGGTGGGATGGGGCGAGGCGGGTGGGATGGGGGAGCGGCGTTGAGGGGATTGCAAGAGATCTGCTTTCGGGCTTGCTGTTGTCGTTTCTCTCCACCTCGCGCCTCTCGCCCTTCGCCCCTCGTCCCCCGCCCCCCGCTCCTCGACCCTCGCCTCTCGCCCCTCGTTTCTCGCCCCTCGCTCGCCCCTCCCCCCTCGCGTCCTTAGCCATTCTACATCTTTCCTCTGCTGCTCTCTCGCACCCGAGTTTCTCCCCCTGTTCTTTCTGCTGCTCAGCTTTAGTATATTCAACATTTATCTGCACTTGTCTCGAATGAGAGTTCTTTCCGCCCTCTTTTCCCCCTCCCTCTGCTCTCTCGCCCTCCCGACCTCTCTCCCCTTTCTGCTATCTCCCCTCTCTCTCTCGTCTCTGCTCTCTCCCCTCTCTCTCCCGTCTCTGCTCTCTCCCCCCTCCCACCTCTCATCCCTCTCTGCTCTATTTCCCTTGTCTCCCCTCTCTGCTCTCTTTCCCTTGTCTCCCCTCTCTGCTCTCTCTCCCTCCCCTCTCTTATCTCACTCCACTCCTTTTCTCTCTCACCTCTCTTCCCACTCCCTTTTCTCCCCTCTCTGCTCTCTCTCCTCTCTCCCCTCCCTCCCTTCTCTTCTCTCTCTCCTCTCTCTCTCCGCTCTCTCCCCTGTCTCCTTTCTCCCCTCTCTCTCCGCTCTCCCCTCACTCTCTCCTCACTCCTTTCTCCCCTCTCTCTCTGCTCTCCCCTCACTCTCTCCTCTCTCCATTCTCCCCTCTCTCTCCGCTCTCCCCTCACTCCCCTCGCTGCCCTCGCCACCCGCGCTGCGCCCACGGCGCGCACCAGCCCGGCGCGGAGAAACGTGTATTCGCAGGAGCTGGAGGCAGCAGGCATCGCCACGTACCAGTGTGCGCCCAACAGGTGATATTTCAGGTGCCATGCACTCTCACCTCTCTTCTCCTCGGCCCCCCACTAATCCCTCCCTTCGCCCCTAGCTCCCCTCACTCCCTTCCCTTCCGTGCGTTCGTGCTTGCCTACGCCCCTCTCCGCCTTCCCTCTCCGCCCCCTGCCCTTCTAACCCTCGCCCACCTCGTGCGCCGTCGTCCGCCTTCCCCTCCCCCCTCCCCCCTATGCCGGCAGGGCAGCGGAGTTCCACGAGGTGCTGGACGCCGTGCAGCCCACCATTGCCGTCTTTGACAGGTCAGCAGTTGTCACTACGCCACGTCAGCGTTCGTGTTTGACAGGTCAGCAGGACAGGGGGGGGTTGGTGTAAGGGAAACTTAGCGGCCAGGGTAACATTGGGTCGGGTAAGGGGAGTGGCAGCAGTCGCACTGGCCATGGCACCTGCGGCACCTGTGGCTTCACTTGTTCGCGCTCTCCCTCACTCCTGCTATTGTTGTCCGCGTCCCCTCCAATTCCCCCTTGCCCCCCTTGCCCCCCTGTAATCGCCTCTTTCCTGCTCCGCCTTTGCTCCCTTCCCACCTTCCACTCCCTCTCCCATCTTTCACCCCCCTATAATGTCCTTTCATTCTACCCCACTCACCCTCTCCCTCCCCCTTTCCTCCCCTCCCCATCCCCTCATCCCCCCTCCCCCTCCCCCTTCCCTTCCCTCCCCCTCCCCCTCCCCCTCCCCCTCCCCCTCCCCCTCCCCCTCCCCCTCCCCCTCCCCCTCCCCCTCCCCCTCCCCCTGCCCCTCCCCCTCCCCCTCCCCCTGCCCCTCCCCCTCCCCCTCCCCCTCCCCCTTCCCTTCCCTCCCCTCCCCCTCCCCCTCCCCCTCCCCCTCCCCCTCCCCCTGCCCCTCCCCCTCCCCCTTCCCTTCCCTCCCCTCCTCCTCCCCCTCCCCCTCCCCCTCCCCCTCGCCCTCGCCCTCCCCCTCCCCCTTCCCTCCCCTCCCCCTCCCCCTTCCCTCCCCTCCCCCTCCCCCTTCCCTCCCCTCCCCATCCCCTCCCCCTCCTCCTCCCCCTCCCCCTCCCCCTCCCCCTCCCCCTCCCCCTCCCCCTCCCCCTCCCCCTCCCCCTCCCCCTTCCCTCCCCTCCCCATCTCCTCCCCCTCCCCCTCCCCCTTCCCCTTCCCTCCCCTCCCCATCCCCTCCCCCTCCCCCTCCTCCTCCCCCTCCCCCTCCCCCTCCCCCTCCCCCTCCCCCTCCCCCTCCCCCTCCCCCTCCCCCTCCCCCTCTCCCTCCCCCTCCCCCTCCCCCTCCCCCTCCCCCTTCCCCTCCCCTTCCCCTCCCCTTCCCCTCCCCTTCTTTCTCCCCCTCCATGCTGCCGCAGGTTCACGAGCGAGGAGGCGTTCTCCTTCCACGTGAGGCAGCGCTGCCCCGCCTGCCTGCTCGTGCTCGACACACAGGACCTGCACTTCCTTAGGGTGGGTGCCAAGGGGTGACATGGGGTGGGTGACATGGAGTGCCAAGGGGTGACATGGGGTGGCATGGGGTGACATGGGGTGGCATGGGGTGGCATGGGGTGGCATGGGGTGGCATGGGGTGGCATGGGGTGGCATGGGGTGGGTGGCACACAGGACCTGGTCTTCCTCAGGGTGGGTGACATGGCGTGACATGGCGTGGCATAGCAAGATGCCTCTGTCCCCATCCCCACCGTTTGCATCGAATCTGTCTCACTCGCTCGCCTCATCCCATCCCACCCCATCCCATCCCACCCATCCCATCCCACTCCACCCATCCCATCCCACCCCATCCCATCCCATCCCATCCCATCCCATCCCATCCCATCTCATCCCCTCTCCTCCCCGGGCAGGCAGGCGGGGCGGCAGCAGGTGGTATCTGAGGGGGGTTCCATCAGGGACGCGCTACACCACGTACCCTTTACAGGCAGCAGGGAGCTGCTGCGCGAGCTCGCATCCATGCACCGCTGCGACCTCACGCTGGTCCGTGCCCTCTCTCTGCCTGCACGCACTCCCACCATCTGCCCCAAACCTCTGCCCCAAAACCTTTGCCCCCACCCCCTGCCCCCACCCTCTGCCCCCACCCTCTGAATTCACACCAGCGTTCTTTTTGTTTGTTTGTTGTCTGGCCATGCTGTTCAATTGTTTGTATTGCAGACTTGTACTTCGTGGTTTGTATCCCTGTCCTCCCGTTCGCTATGCAGACCCACACATGCTCCCTGCTCACTGTTCCTCACCCACCTTCCCAACCCCCCCTTTCTCCCGCCCTCCCTCCCTCCCCCTCTCTGCTCTCCCTCGCCTCCATCAGCTGTGTTCACAGGCGGAGCTCGCTCTCCTCACGCGCTGCTACGCCTTCCCCCCCCACAAGCTTGCCCTCGCCTCCTTCTTCTATGATGCTCCCCAGGCAGAGAGAGGTGAGGCAGAGAGAGGTGAGGCAGAGAGAGGTGAGGCAGAGAGAGGTGAGGCAGAGAAAGGTGAGGCAGTGGGAGGTGGGGCAGTGGGAGGTGAGGCAGTGGGAGGTGAGGCAGTGGGAGGTGGGGCAGTGGGAGGTGAGGCAGTGAGGGTGTAGGGGCTGTCAGCAATGGAAGTGACGCTCGCGGCGTGCAGGAGAAGTGAGAACAGGCTCACTGCTCCACCAGTCTCAAGAATTCTCAAAAACCACCGCTCTTCACACCTTAGAACCTGCTGTTGCAGGAGTTGCCTCTACTGCCACGTGGTCTCCAGGCCAAAGCGCCCAAAAGGATCACTGGCAGGCATTGCCTTGTCATTCGCTCCATCCCCTTGGTACTATCTTTCCCTTTCCCCTCCCCACCCCCTGTTTCCGCAACTGTCCTTCCGCCTCCTGCCTTTCCCCGTCGCCACCGCTTGCACCCATCCTCCCATCTCTTCCCCATTGTGTGCCACCCGTTCCTCCCCCGCCCCACCCCGCCCCATCCCAACCCTCCGGATCGCAGATTCCACCTCCCCCTCTGCGCCCCCCGTGCTGCCCCCCTTTAAGCAGCGCCAGCACTGTGTGATGCTGGGCACGTTCCGCCACGCGCCCAACGTGGACGCCGTCTCCTGGCTCGCCTCCCACATCTGGCCTCTTATTCGCGCCCAGGTCAGCCCATCCGCGCCCAGGTCCGCCCATGTCTCACTCGCTCACTCTGTCACTGTGACTCGTCAGAGCTTGCACAGCTCCCTGTTTCCTCCTCTGCGTGCTCTCCTCTCCCCGCTCCCCACTTGACCACTTCTTTGGTCGTGCCGTCGTCCCCCCCCGCTCCCCTTTTATCCTCACCCTGCCATGTACCTCTCCCCAAACCCCGCCACCCCCCTTCCTCTACCCCCCCCCCCCCCATGATATGCGCAGCTACCAATGGCAGAGTGCCACGTGTACGGCTCCTACGTCACAGCAACCATCTCGTCCCTGCACGACCCCTCATCTGGCTTCATCATTCGTGGCCACGCCCCCTCCCTTGACATGCTCGCCTCCTACCGTGGTCAGCAACACCTCCCCCCTTTCCCTTCCTCCCCATCCCTCTGTTACCGCTTTGCACCCATCCATATCTCACCGTTCTCAGCTCAGCTCTTCAGCCACCTGCAGTTCATATTCCCATTTTTCCTCCCTCTCCCCTCCCCTCCCCTCCCCTCCCCTCCGCCTTCCCCTCTCCTCCCCTCCACCTCCCCTCCCCTCCCCACTCCACCCGTCTCCTCCCCTTCCCTCCCCTCTTCCACCTGTCCTCTCCCTTCATCCGCACTCCCCTGCCCCTGGCAGTGCTGCTGGCACCGCTGCGCTATGGGGCGGGCATCAAGGGCAAGGTCCTCGACAGCTGGCGCCACGGCACTCCCGTCGTCACCACCCCCATTGGCGCCGAGGGCATGGGCTGCAGAGGGGGAGGGGAGGAGGGGGAAGAACCAGGGGAGGGGGACACGGGGGTGGCAGAGGGGCAGGGAGAGGGAGGTGCGGGAGAGCAGTGGGGGGGGCTTTGGGGGCCGGGGGATGCAGAGGCGTTTGCAGCAGATGCAGTGCGGCTGTACAGCGATCCTCACCTGTGGGCCTCGTGCCAATCCACGGTGCACTGCCTGCCCTCTCTGCCTTCCGTGCCCACCCCTCCTGCTGCACTGCCAGCATTGCACTGCCTCCCTTGCACTGCCTCCCTGGATCCCTTGCACTGCCTGCCTTGCATTCCCTCTTCCTGCACTCACCACTCTCTCACCCCACAGATCTGAGTGGCCCCCATCCATCCCCCAGCTCCCTGCCCACCTCTTGCCTGTCTGTCCTCTCGTTTCTGTTTCTGCTGGGACCTTCCAATGCTCTTGATGCGATTGCTCTAGGCTGTGGTTCGGACCTTCCAGTGCTGTTCTTTTTCCATGCGTTCACAACATTGTCAATGGCTGTCCCTCAGGCTTTCACAAATGTGCCTCCCCTCCCACAGGGCCGCACCATCCTCCAGCAGCAGTTTGGCATGCTCACAAACGGGCCTGCGCTGCTTGCCGCTGTTTCTGCCGCCAAGTCAAGCATGCACGATAATAGAATGCGTGACTATACTGGGGTGAGTACGAATCTGAATGTTTTTTCATGTTGACCAATCACAGGTTATGGTAGCAAACCAGTTGACGTCCCCCTCCCCCTTCATTCCCTCTCTTACACACTAGCACATGATTTATGAAATAGGTGTACAAGTTGAGAACAGCTGGCATTTCTGTGGATTGTTGCAACCGCCAAAACTTGCCATATTATTCACAGGATGCTGTTCTGTTTGACAATTATTTTCCTTGCCAATCTGCATTTGCAGGCCATGTTGTGGCATGACAGCAACAGGGCGACCGAGTACTTCTCGCGATGGATCGAGCTCAAAGAAATGGGTGCAAGATCACCACAATGAATCGCTAGGCCGCTTGCTCGCAGTTGCCGTGGATTCGGAAAGCCCTGCATGACTAAGAGTCATGGCAACACCTAGCGCTATTATTTAGTAAATAGATGGTTGCGGTAATGTTTGTATGCATCAGCTCGGCTAAATCCCCACAGAAGTAAGATGGTGTAGAACATATGTTTCACTGCTACTGTTGTAATGGCAATGTGAACATTTGGACTAGGTACATGAGCAGCCTAGGGTTCATCCACACATCCGACTTGATGGCACCCAGTTATCACTTCATGCCAGCAAGTTCGAGTGCTGTGAATGTTTTCCCTCGCTTGGGAGACTCGTTGTAAGCTATGTTGGCGGTGGCGCTGTTCATAAAATCCCAGCTCTTGTAGAACGACGCGTGACACCAAAAACGAAGAAATGCTGTGCTTGGGTATCCATACATCCCACGAGTGTGAAAATCCCCGTGGCTGTCGTTCGATCTTGGGTGATCTCCGAAAGAACGTTCCGATCTCAATTCCCATAGTTCAGGAGAATGCCACATCAGGTGGGGTCAGTCAAGGCAGTTGGTGCATCCCAACCACAACACCTTCCACGGTTGTTGGGGCCCCACGTCATTAAAGCCGTGGCCCAACTATCAACTTCAACTTCAAAGTATTATAGCTTGGAAGAGGTTGACCCAGGCAGTTCAGAGCCGAGAAGTTTGTCCTCTTCTGGTTTTCCAGTTTTTTCGTCCAATAGAATTCAAGTTACTCACATGCCATTTTTGTCCCCCTACTGTTCCTAAGAAGTTGCACCCCGCCTTTAAGCCGTGGCAGCTTTGTGTTGACAGCGCCGCAGCGTGCATATCTTCTGTATGCACGGCACATGGGTTTGTGGTTGGAATGATGCGACGCACATGGTACTGTCCATCTCCCACGAATCGCGAGTCAGATCTCTGGTGGGGTGGTTCAAGTGGCTACTTTCTGCAGTCCACACCAGAAATTCCACCCTTTAAACCAGACACTGAAGCGCAGTGAAACCCTTTCAGCCGTACACGACCTTTTATATCACCCATCAGAGGCCATTGTGATGTCAAGGAGTGAAAAAGACCCCCAGCCCCAGCTGTCAGTCAGTCACTAGCAGCATGGGACGGGAACAGAGCAGCAACGGAAGAAAGCAGAGCAGACTCGCACAGAGCAGAGCAGAACACGAGTTGACGGCTCGGGAAAACGGAACCCAACAGAACGGGACGGAAAAGAATGGATCTCGCGCTGTCTCGCAACTGTGCTTGTTCCTAGATCAAAACCGCCAAGGGGCATTCTGTTGTGGACCATGGCCCAGCCACACTTTTTTGTTGCGCATCTACATTTCGTGCAAACACTGTGAAGTGAAGGGGAAAGCCGGATGTGTTCGGTGTACACCCTCTTTCTCAACCTTTTCACCTTGCGCGACTCGTCGCTACAGTACTTGTCTCATGCGATCTGGTGCCAATAAACGTTCCTAGGCAACCTGGGGGGAAAGCCGGACCACGTGACAAACTGGCTCAAGGACGTAAAATCTCCGTAATCGCTTCATAACTTTCCCAAACAGATGAAAACGTTGACAACGCTTTTTGTAAAGTGCATAACCTTATCTAACCGCATTCTTCGCATTGTGCTTGTACAGTAGGTGACAAGACCATTCTGAACGTGGCGACGTTCTACGATCCATGCACGTTCTCCAACCAGGTGCTCTACTAGCGCGAAAGAGGGTGTACGGGAAAGGGTACATCAGAAAAATGTCGTTCTGCCGAAAACCGGGGGACGAGTACTTAGCTTTTTTTTTGGGTTGTCGAGCGCCCTGTAATTGGCCGTTTACTGTGAGGGAAGGGTTGTGACTTAGGACGCGGGGGTAAACTGGCGGTTTTTGTCTGTTGTGGGTGATTTCCGTGATTGTCTGGGATCGCGAATTTCAGGGGAAATGGGCAGGTTTGAGGCTGGAAGAACTTGGCAGTTTACTGGCAGGAACCTGACGTTGCCTGACGGGGCGGCTCGCTCGGGTAGAGAGCTGCGGAATGCTGTGGATAACTGTGAAGGTCTTCCCGTGGTCACGATTTTCGTTTGCCACGTCATCTCATGGCGCGTGATTTTAGATTCGCGATATGATTCGAATCGACTGTTAGAACTGAAACTGTTGAATACATATTTACTTCTGTTTAGATTCGTAAATGTATGTGAAAGTATTGTTGCTAATCCCTTCAAACACTCACAATCACCCTACTATTTGCTAGGGTAGTATCAAATAATTATCGTATGCATGTTACCTCTGAATATACATCGCAACGTTCGATGGCCCGAAACTGATGAAGGATGGGCCAGTACGCAACATGTCACCGTTTCGTCGTTTGGTTTATTTTTTTAGCATTATTTCTTCGCACATTCAGGTAGTTCAATCAATTACCTTGCCATAGGAACTGGTTTGAGTTAATTCGCACAACTACGCAGCACGTGACGCTTGTTTGTGCGTTTGATGGCCTGAACCTGTGCAAGGATAGGTAGTACGCAACATGTCACCGTTTCATCGTCTGGTTGTTTTTTCTAGCACCATTTCTTCACACATTCAGGTAATTCAATCAATTACCTTGCCATAGGAACTGGTTTGAGTTAATTCGCACAACTACGCAGCACGTGACGCTTGTTTGTGCGTTCGATGGCCCGAAACTGTGCAAGGATAGGCCAGTACGCAACATGTCACCGTTTCAACGTGTGGTTGTTTTTTTTATCACCATTTCTTCACAAATTCAGGCATTTCAATTAATTACCTTGCCATAGGAAGTGGTTTGACCTCATTCGCACACCTACGCAGCACGTGACGCTCGTTTGTGCGTTCGATGGCCTGAAACTGTGCAAGGGTAAGCCAGTACGCAACATGTCACTGTTTCATCGTCTGGCTGTCTTTTTTAGCACCATTTCTTCACACATTCAGGTATTTCAATCAATTACCTTGCCATAGGAACTGGTTTGAGTTAATTCGCACAACTACGCAACACGTGCCGTTTGTTTGTGCGTTTGCTGACCTGAATATGTGCAAGGATAGGCCTGTGCGCAACATGTCAGCTCGCGAACGTCAGGATGCTTTTTTTAGCACTATTTCTTCACACTGATCCCTACTACATCCTATTCCCTAGCCATAGGAACTGGTTTGACCTCGTTCGCACAACTACACAGCACGTAGCGCATGTTTGTGCGTTTGCTGGCTTGAATCTGTGCAAGGATAGGCCTGTGCGCAACATGTCAGCTCGCCAATGTCTGGATGCCCTTTTTAGCACTATTTCTTCAACTTATCCCTACTACATCCTATTCCCTAGCCATAGGAACTGGTTTGACCTCGTTCGCACAACTACGCAGCACGTGGCGGATGTCTGTGCGTTTGCTGGCCTGAATCTGTGCAAGGATAGGCGCATGCGCAACATGTCAGCTCGCCAACGTCTGGATGCCTTTTTTAGCACTATTTCTTCACAGAATTCTCTACTACATCCTATTTTCTAGCCATAGGAACTGGTTTGACCTCGTTCGCACAACTGTGCAGCACGTAGCGCATGTTTGTGTTTTTGCTGGCTTGAATCTGTGCAAGGATAGGCCTGTGCGCAACGTGTCAGCTCGCCAACGTCTGTATGCCTTTTTTAACACTATTTCTTCACATTTTTCCCTACTACATCCTATTCCCTAGCCATAGGAACTGGTTTGACCTCGTTCGCACAACTATGCAGCACGTGGCGCATGTTTGTGCGTTTGCTGGCCTGAATCTGTGCAAGGATAGGCCAGTGCGCAAAATGTTAGCTCGCCAACGTCTAAATGCCTTTTTTAGCACTATTTCTTCACACTCTTCCCTACTACATCCTATTCCCTAGCCATAGGAACTGGTTTGACCTCGTTTGCACAACTACGCAGCACGTGGCGCATGTTTGTGCGTTTGCTGGCCTGAATCTGTGCAAGGATAGGCGCCTGCGCAACATGTCACTGCGCCAACGTCTAAACGTTTTTTTTATCACTATTTCTTCACACTGTTCCCTAGTACATCCTAATACCTTTCCATAGGAACTGATTGGGGCTCGTTCGCAAAACTACGCAGCACGTGGCGCATGTTCGTGCGTTTGCTGGCCTGAATCTGTGCAAGGATGGGCCTGTACGCAACATGCTACTGTTTCAACGTCTAGGTGTTGTTTTTACCTCTATTTTTTCACACAGTTCTCTAGTACATCCTAATTCCTAGCCATATGAACTGGTTTGACCTCGTTTGCACAAATACGCAGCACGTGGCGCTTGTTTGTGCATTTTGCTGGCCTGAAACTGCGCGAGGATAGGCCTCTGCGCAACATGTCAGTGTTTCAACGTCTGGGTG